GCACCACCACATATGGCTAATTTTTGTATTTTTAGTAGAGATGGGGTTTTGCCATGTTGGTCAGGCTGGTCTCAAACTCCTGACCTCAGGTGATCCGTCCGCCTTGGCCTCCCAAAGTGCTGGGATTACAGGCATGAGCCACTGCACCTGGCCTAGAATTAACTTTAAAATATTAAAAGTATTATTTGTTCAACAAAGAATTTGTTGAACACCTACTAAGTTCCACATTTTTCTGTGCTTTATCAAAAAAAAAAAAAAAAAAAAAAATCCCAGTCCCTACACAGCTTATATTTTAGCAGAGGGAAAATGACACAAAGCAAAATCCAGAATGATTAAACATGGGAAAAATAATATATACACACACTGTTATTTATTTAAAAAAATAAGTAGAGGCTGAGTGCCGTGGCTCATGCCTGTAATCCCAGCACTTTGGGAGGCCAAGGCAGGTGGATCACAAGGTCAGAAGATTGAGACCATCTTGGCCAACATGGTGAAATCCCCTCTCTACTAAAAATACAAAAAAAAAAAAAAAAATTAGCCAGGCATGGTGGTGCACACCTGTAGTACCAGCCATTTGGGAGGCTGAGGCAGGAGAATCACTTGAACCCGGGCGGTGGAGGATGCAGTGAGCCAAGATCGCACCACTGCACTCCAGCTTAGTGACAGAGCAAGACTTCATCTCAGAAAGAAGTAGAACAGAGAAAGGGATACCAGGAGTACAGGACATACTGTAATATGAAATAGTCACTGTATTTATTTTAAAACATTTAAATTTTTTATTACAAGTAAAATTTTATTATTTTATATATAAAAGCTCTAGATTTTTACCAGTATATAAGAACTAGGGAAAAAATCGAAGAGACAAAAACCACCAATAATGTATTCAGAGAAAACCATTTTCTGCTTTCAGTAACTTTAAGACTGTCAGGCCAGGCGCAGTGGCTCACACCTGTAATCCCAGCATTTTGGGAGGCTAAGGCAGGTGGATTACCTGAGGTCAAGAGATTGAGACCATGCTGGCCAACATGGTAAAATCCCATCTCTACTAAAAATACAAAAATTAGCTGGGCATGGTGGCTCATGCCTGTAGTCCTAGCTACTCAGGAGGCTGAGGCAGCAGAACTGTTTGAACCCAGGAGTTGAAGGTTGCGGTGAGCTGAGATGTACCACTGCATTCCAGCCTGGCTACAGAGTGAGACTCCATCTCAAAAAAAAAAAAAAAAAAAAAGTTCCTATCTTTATTGATTTTAATTGGTCAGAAAAAAATAAAAAAAAAAAAAAGTACCTGACCTATTAGATGCTTTAAAAATATCTGTTGAACAAATCACTGTTTTCTCTTGAAAATCTGTCCTAATTATCCCATTATCTGAGCTGGCATTTTCCATGAAATAAAAATTTTTTAAATAATTTATGCAAAATAAAGAATGTCTGGTCAGGCATGGTGGCTCACACCTGTAATCCCAGCAGTTTGGGAAGCTGTGGCAGGTGGATCACCTGAGGTCAGGAGTTTGAGACCAGCCTGGCCAACATAGCAAAACTCTGTCTCTACTATAAATACAAAAATTAGCTGGGCATGGAGGCGGTGCCTGTAATCCCAGCTACTCAGGAGGCTGAGACAGGAGAATTGCTTGAACCCAGGAAGCAGGGGTTGCAGTGAGCCGAGATCACGCCACTGCATTCCAGCCTAGGCAACAGAGCAAGACTCTGTCTCAAAAAAAAAAAAATTTTTTTTAATTAAAAATTAAAAAGGCAGTTGGGCACAGTGGCTCACACCTATAATCCCAGCACTTTGGCAGGCCGAGACAGGTGGATCATGAGGTCAGGACATCAACACCATCCTGGCCATGGTGAAACCCCATCTCTGTTAAAATGCAAAAAATTAGCCAGGTGTGGTGGTGTACAACTGTAGTCCCAAGCTCAGGAGGCTTAGACAGGGGAATCGCTTGAATTCAGGAGACGAGAGGTTGCAGTGAGCCGAGATCATGCCACTGCACTCCAGCCTGGCGACAGAGCAAGACTCTGTCTCAAAAAAAAAAAAAAAGCTGGGTACAGTGGCTCACACTCTAATTCCATCACTTTAGGATGCCAAGGTGGGAGGATCACACGGTCAGGGGTTTGAGACCAGACTGACCAACATGAAGAAACCTTGTCTCTACTAAAAATACAAAATTAGTTAGGCCTGGTGGTGCATGGCTGTAATCCCAGCTATTCAAGAGGCTGAGGTAGGAGAATCGCTTGAACCCAGGAGCCGGAGGTTGCGGTAAGCCAAGATCATACCATTGCACTCCAGCCTAGGCAACAAGAGCGAAACTCTGTCACAAAAAAAAAAAAAAAAGAAAGAAAGAAAAGAAAGAATGTCTGAACTCTCATTTACCCTTTCACTTATCATATATATTCTTTACCTGATGCCAATTTTCAAATACATCAATGTATCTGACATGCTGCAAAGGATAAAGGAATCTGAAACATGAGAGAATGAAGAAAAATCTGAGGCTTGCAGGAATTCTATGCTGATTCAATCAAAGAATACATTCCTACACACCTGAAGAGGTTTTATCACTCAGTAACACTTCAATAACTACTTATCCATCATTTCCTCTGAAGTATGTGGCTTGTCTATTATCCAATAAAATAATATCACTTACATTTCAGCCTCTAATTCTTATATACAAGAGACATGCAATAGCATGAACTGCCTAGAAACAAAATTATTTTCATTCTTACTAGTCTTTATATTCTTTTGCACTGAAAAGTAAAAATGTACCTAGGTTACCCAAAACAACTCGTTTTACCTGATTACCTGAATCATTATAGAGGAATGCCTAATAAAATTACACTATCTCAGTTTTAGAAACCTGAGGAACTTTGGCCAGTGTGGTGGCTCATGCCTGTAATCCTGGCACTTTGGCCGAAGTGGGTGAATCACCTGAGGTCAGGTGTTTGAGACCAGCCTGGCCAACGTGGTCAAATCCTGCCACTGCTAAAAATACAGAAATTAGCTGGGCATGATAGTGCACACCTGTAGTCCCAGCTACTCGGGCAACTGAAACAGGAGAATCACTTGAGCCCGGGAGATGAAGGCTGCAGTGAACTGATATCACACCACTGCACTCCAGCTTGGGTGACATCCATCTCAAAAAAGGGAAAAAAAAAAAAAAACAGCAGCAGCAGCTTGAGGAACTTTGAAGCATTTGAAACCAGAAGACCTCCTTATCATGGGCTTTCATTTCTTTTATGAGACTTTAATAAACCCTCACAGGAAATTATCTCTACCAAGCTTTGTTTTTCTTAATAATGTCAATATCACTAGTCAGTCATAGCAAAAATTTTACAGAGCAAAACAAAATGGTGTTTTGTCTTAAGTGTGCCACTTCCTAGCTGTGTTACTTTGGGTAAATCACTTTAATTACCTAAGTCTCAGTTTCTCTTTGTAAATGTGAATAATTCCCCCATCTTCTAGTGAGGTAACAAATATAAACCTTATCCGCTAATAAGCACTAGCACTCTGGGAAAAAAGTTATCCTCTCTTGGGCCCCTCCTTCCATTTTGTTTAGCAGGTAGTGCCGGCTACCTGTAATCAGCTAAATACTAAACAATTAAAAATTGATTTAAAAAACATATAGTGAACTTAACACTTAAAATCTATACATTTCATTATATGTAAAATATTAATCAATACATTTAAAGGGCTTGTTAAAAAATAAACATACTGGAGCCAAGCACAGTGGCTCATATCTGTAATTCCAACCCTTTGGGAGGCCAACACAGGAGGATCATTTGAGGCCAAGAGTTCAAGACCAGCCTTAGAAACATAGCAAGTCCCCAACTCTAAAAAAATTAAAATATTAGCTGGGCATGGTGGCATGCACCTATAGTCCCAGCTACTTGGAAGGCAGAGAGAAGAGATCTCTTGATCCCAAGAGTTCAGGAATATAGTAAGCTATAATCCTGCCACTGCATTCCAGCCTGGGAGACAGATAGCCAGTCTTGAAAAATAAATAAATAAATAAAACATAGTGACAACAGGTAATATATTTGAGACGCCATTGACTAATCTTTTTTTAATTTTACTTTCAGTAGTAGAACACATGTGCAGAACGTGCAGGTCTGTTAACAGGTTTACATGTTCCATGGTGATCTGCTACACCTATCAACCCGTCACCTAGGTTTTAAGCCCCGTATGCATTAGCTATTTGTGTCCTGATGCTCTCCCTCCCCTCGCCACCCCAAACCCCAAATGGCCTCATGCGTGTTGCTCCTTCCTGTGTCCATGTGTTCTCATTGTTCAGCTCCCATTTATGAGTAAGAACATGTGGTGTTCGGTTTTCTGTTCCTGTGTTAGTTTGCTAAGGATGATGGCTTCCAGCTTCATCTATGTCCCTGCAAAGGATGTATTCTCATTCCTTTTTATGAATGCATAGTATTCCATGGTGTATATGTACCACATTTTCTTTATCCAGTCTATCATTGGTGGGCATTTAGATTGGTTCCATGTCTTTGCTATTGTATCACTGCCTAATCTAACAGTATCACTATCAAGAAGTCCAGGCTGGGCATGCACACCTGAAATCCCAGCACTTTGAAAGGCCAAGGCAGGAGAATTGTATTAAGCCCACAAATTAAAGACTAGCCTGGGCAACATGACAACATCAAGACCCCATCTCTATTAGGGAAAAAAAAAGCAGTAGTAATGAACAGCCAATATTTTGTGGCAGTATCATTGAAGTCTCAAAGCAAACCTATGAAGTAGATACCATTTTATAGATAAAGAAATTGATTTGGCCAGGCGCGGTGGCTCACGCCTGTAATCCCAGCACTTTGGGAGGCCAAGGCAGGTGGATCACCTGAGGTCAAGGGTTCAAAACCATCCTGGTCAACATGGCGAAACCC